CCGTTACCGCAGAGGCTGCAGCAGAAAATGCCCAGGTCCAGGCCATCATTGCGCCGCGGTTGAGGAAACTGACGGAGATCGCCAATGGATTTTTATCAACCATCATCGACTCGGTAGATGAGACGCCTTATGGTATCCGATGGATTTGCAAGCAGATTCGAAGCTTGTCTCGACGCAAATACCCTGATGCCCAGGACCAAACTATCTGTACCCTGATTGGAGGCTTCTTTTTCCTTCGTTTCATCAATCCCGCCATCGTCACCCCGCGGTCTTATATGTTAATTGATGCAACTCCTACAGAGAAGCCTCGGCGTACGTTGACCTTGATTGCAAAGATGCTCCAGAACCTGGCAAACAAACCCTCCTACGCCAAAGAGCCATATATGGCCAAACTACAACCGTTTATTCAGCAGAACAAAGAGCGTGTCAACAAATTCATGCTGGATCTATGCGAGGTGCAGGACTTCTATGAGAGCCTGGAAATGGACAACTATGTGGCTCTTTCCAAGCGTGACCTGGAGCTGCAGATCACTCTAAACGAGATGTATGCCACTCACGCACTTTTGGAAAAACACAGTGTGGCTCTGGCTCAAGACCAACACTCGCACCTACATGAGCTCTTGAATGAGCTCGGCACAGCACCGACTCAAGTTCCACGCAAAGAGAACAGGACCATCACTGTTCCTCTCTTTAGTCGGTGGGAAGCAACCGTGAATGATTTGACATCCGCTCTAGACATTACTCAGGAGGAGATATTCTTTATGGAAGCTAAATCAACTTTTGTCCAAATCCTGCGATCTCTGCCTCAAAACTCAGTAGTCGCTCGCCGACCGCTCCGACTCGATCGCATTGCAGAGGCCGCAGCTACATTGAAGAACGATGCCGTCATGGTGCGGAAAGGTATTCGTACCATGGAATTGTTAAGTCAGCTACAGGAAATGGGTGTCATTGATCGGTCTGATGAGTTCAGCCTGCTGCGAGATGAAGTTGAACAGGAATTGGTGCACCTGGGATCTTTGAAAGAGAAGGTTCTGGACGAGACCAAGAAGCTTGAGGAAGTCTTTGCGACAATCCGTGACCATAACGCATATTTGGTGGGTCAGTTGGAGACATACAAGTCCTATCTGCATAATGTCCGTAGCCAGTCAGAGGGAAAACAGCGAAAGCAGCAGAAACATCAAGAGCTCGGACCCTACAAATTTACCCACCAACAGCTTGAAAAAGAAGGCGTGATTCGAAAGAGTAATGTTCCCGAGAACCGACGAGCCAACATCTACTTCATGTTCAAGAGCCCGTTGCCAGGTACTTTTGTTATTAGCCTGCATTACAAAGGCACGTACTCCGGTCTTCAACTCTACTTCCCTGTTCCTGGTATCCCAAATTTTCTTCGTCAATGGTATACTAACGAAGAGCATTGAACAGGTCGCGCTCGCGGGCTTCTGGAGCTTGATCTCAAGCTTGATGATCTGTTAGAAATGCAGAAAGATAACCTTGAGGATCTGGACTTGGAATACGTGCAATTCAACGTACCCAAGGTGCTAATGCTCTTAAACAAGCGGTTTGCACGCAAGAAGGGTTGGTAAGAAGCTTCTCTTGAAAGGTCTCTACTCTCCCGTTACGATGTATATGAAAACGAGCAACTAGCTCGAGGGCGAAATGCCCGAGCCCCAGTCCGTGCTTTTATTGTACACTAACTTCACGGACTATGATTTGGTGCCAAAACAAACTGCCAGTACAGCAACGGAAGTGTGCTTTGTTTGAACCGCCAGCTTTATACGATAATCTGCACAAGGGCGCATATGTACCCTTTTGACTGTTTCATGCCCCTCAAAGTGAGCAGGATTGACGGGCCGCATATGGACTATGATCTGTTTTGAAATTTTTGTATCGAGATGTGACTATAGGAGGACTGTAATCTGTCGAGAAAGGGAGTTCCTTTGATCCCGGTGTGGAGAGACAAAGTCCTTGCTGGTTCGAGGACAGTCGCCATGACGGGGATGATTGGGGTGGTTTTGCTTTACGTATACCCTGTTGGATGAATTTGTGTGTGTGTTTCTTGTTCCCGCTCTGATCTGATTTCCTTGGATGGCTCCGTTGTTTTGGCCCAGAAGTCGCCTGTTATGTCAAAATCTCACTATTTCATGTACATCTAGCAATTGTTAAATTCACGACCAACCGCTTCAGGGAAGTGTATAACCTAATGCCATACTATCAGTCAGGCTGATCCGAACCCTATCTTTTTTTCGCAGCATGTTCTCGATTAGCTTAACAAGGATCCAGATACACTACACAAACCTCTATATGTACCAAGGGCACTTTTCAAATCTAGCATTGACTTGATCATTATCATAGTACGAACTTAAGAATGTAGAAAGAGAGTGTTAATACAACCAATCATGGTTTTTCGTTGCCATGAAACCCTAACTCGAGGTACGTATTTACAAGCTTGCTTGTGAGAGGTATGACAAGGCACCACGTAAGCAAGCTTTCAAGTCTAGCTTTACGAAAATATACCTTTGCTTGGTCTATGTATGAATGTTATATGTAGATTTTCAAGTGTACAATTCCACCAAGTTAGGTTGAGATAAACATGCAAGGTATCTGTCAATCTCATTCCTTCGTTATAACATCAATAGTGGCGTATTTTATTGTCAATAGAAGACATATTTAGCAAGTGAAATTGCAAGACTATATATACCTGTTCCCCTAATCATTGTGTGAAGGTGACCCCCACAACTACAATACCTAGGTATAAACTGAGGAGTCCCGCGAATTATGTCCTAAATAGGTCAACCCCAAATCAGGGCAACAAACAAAACGGCACCCGCCGCTATAAGGGCTTTCAGCCCATTGCTTGATTCCAGATTCGATCCTGTAGACTCGTCTGTCTTTTCAGGCTTGTCTGCCGTGTCCGTCTTGTCTGTATCTTGTGTTGTGCGATCTGGGACGCCGTCCTTCCCTGGTTTGATCTCCATGATCTCGTCTGGCGCTTTCTCCCAGCGTCTTTGGGCCAGAGAAACTTCGTCATTCCCCATGTCAAAGACTGTGTATACCAACTTGAGGAAGTTGGCCCCGATTATGACACCGCCAAACTCCTTACTACGTTCAGGTTCAATCGTCAAAAAGCTTAGATAGCAGTAACCCTCCTTGTACTCTTTAAGGTTCGTGGATGAGGGAGCCTGAACTATGAACGGGTCGAGGGAGAAGTTGAAAGTTACGTCACCGAAATAGAATGTTAGCAACTTATTCGCAGGTGGTTCGTCGCAAGGAAACACCGGCTGGCCGTTCTCATAAAACTCGGTGACGTTAAGCTGGGAAAACAGGTCTTGCGTGATCGCTTTAGGGAAACCGATGAAGTCAGTCGCAGAAGAAAAGACAGCCCCTGTGGAAAAAGACTCTGGCGAAATGGACTTCGTGTTGGAGTCTGCTCCCACGGATAGTCCGGTAAGATTGACCCGGAATAACTTGCTGAGGTCTGGAGGCGATATAACCTGCAACGTATGGAGCTTATCAACATACTTGGCCTTGTTCACGCCACCGAAGAGAATGGTACCGGGTACATTGGTCTGATCATGGTTCTCCTCCATCCACATGCTGAAAGTAGGGGATTGGATAGCTTTCGCATGAACCAATGCTTGGGTGACAGAGATGAATTCCGAGTTTCTATTGCTGTATCCTAGGCCGAGTGTATCTATTCACAGTTTAATCCGACTGTGGCATGGGCTGAGCCCATGTATGTGGGTATAGTTCGATGGCAGCATCACAGGACAACTTACCACCTATCGAGGCCTTCTCATGTAGAGTAGCAAACCTCATATCTTCCAGTTTCACATCCCCAACGATCATCGTATCTGACATTATATCAATATTCCCCACGTCCTCCTGGTCGAACCCGTCAACGGTGGCATTCGTTTTTAATGTTCGGCTGCTAGTTGACGCGCTCGCATTATACCCATCAAGAATTCCGTGTTCTATGTATCCTGCCAACTCTTCGTTATCTCTCACCACCACCCAACTGCTGTCATCAAGAGTGGAGAACTGGGCTTTCAATTTCTGTGGTGGGCTTCGGACGGATATGTTAGCGTAGAAGAAGTCATTCTATGAGTTATAATGGTCAGGACAAGCGATTTTCTGTGTGTTTGACGAAGGCGAGCCATTTTGCTGCACATACCCCGTAGAATTTTAAATTGACAGTGCGGTCCCTCTTCTCACGACGATCATGACGATGGTGAGCACCTGCGAACCACCCGCCCTGCAAGGGCACCGCCAACACGGAAGGCGTGTCCTTCTTCTCCAGTATCAGGGCATTGGTATAGTAAGCAGCCCCTAGGGCCAGGCACCAAAACTTAATCATGTTGATCAATCGATTTTAGCATGCAATTCCGGTAACCGTTGCGTACAGTCCATCAACAGTGGACCTGACCAGCCTTTTATCCCTCGAGATTGGGTAAGGGGTCAAATTATTGAAACAAGACCAGCTCTTGTTTAGATAGTTAAAATGGCATGGAAGTCTTTTGGTTTGTTCCATTGGGCACTGTGATGTAACGTTTGCTCGGCGCAACTTCAAACAGACCCTCAACCCGCCATTGATTTAAGGGATATGTATATTTCTTTGTGGAAATTGACATCGTGAGGGGGAAGAACTCACCATGTGCGCCTTGGAAGGCTGATGTAGAGCCATACAGCATTCATTGTCCCCATAGATGGCAAGGACGGGGCACTAGGTTGCCATCAAAAGCTGAAACCGGTACAAAGAAGTTACTGAAACTTAATTACATCAATATGCTGCAGGACGACTCAATTGGTTCAACAGTATTCCCAAGCAGTAGGCCAAGATGGTGAAAGGAAAAGTGAGTCTAATGATGACGTTCGGCTAGAGAGAAGTCATGTGGATGGAGCACGTGAATTAGTATAGTAGTTCTAATATACAATTGGGAACATTATTGCCCCAAGTTTGAATATTCAGCATAGACAGACAATTTACAGTTGGGCTTGTGGTATCAGATAAGAAACGTCCAAAAGCTAGGGAAAACTAGCTCCTCCTCGAAGATGCGACGGACCTGGGCCAAAACGAAGCGCTCAACCTTGCCGACATTCTTCAGGACTTGCTTCCCATCTTCCTTCCGACCAATCTCACTTTCAACTCGGATTTCTTGCAATAAGCCTCCCTGGCGCTTCGGGGACGCGGTCGGGTCAGCACTAGACCATGGGCGATCGTCCTGGCCTCTCGCTTCTTGCTGGTCAGACCCGATCAGTGCATCAGCATCTTCCGCGGACAAAAAACAGAAATGAACTCGTTTTCGGATGTACGCGATGACTGCAACCCCATCGAATGTGATTCCCGTTACGTTGAGTTTCAGTGGCAACCCAACAAAACTAGGCATGGGATAATCAAGAAGAATCTCTGCGGTTAATGATAACCGCACATCCCCGGCGTATTTAGCGTGGCAAAGAACTTGAAAATCTTCCGGTCGGCGCTCGCGCATGCGAGGGGGCAGCCGAAGAGGATGTCCTGAGGCCATGGGGTCCTCCATATGTTCATCCTCGGCGAGTGGTCCGTGGTCCTTTCCTGTTGTGGCATCACCGCTGGGCTGATTGGACGCGGACGGATGAGAAGGGAGCGTACTAGAGGTCGAAGGACGTGAGGTAGGATTGCTAGTGTCGATATCAGCTTCCATGCGAGATGGATGCACCACAGCCGCGCCGGAGATGGATGGATGGCCCCTGCTGCTTGCGCCCATTCCAGGGTCGGTCCAGCCGTTTGCGAACGGTGTACCACCTGCAACCGCGGCAAGGGGAGTTTGTGTCCCCGACAATCCACCAAGGGACATAAGGTGGTATCCTAACGTAGAAGTTCCGCCAGGAATACCCGGAGTGCCCGCACGGGGAAGGAAGTGAGGGTTCAGGTGTTCCATTGGTGAGCGCAAAGCCGATGAGTGGAAAGCTTCATCGAATGGGTCTCGTAACGGGCGATTCATTGCCATTTCCTCGTGAAATGTGGGCTCGTTGCGTTCCCGGTGCCACTGGGTACCATGCCCGGAGACCAGCTCCTCGGACACATCGGACGTTTCGTCATCTTCATCCTCCTCATAGAAGTCGGTAAACGGCTCACAGATATCCTTCACCTCAAGATCAGGAGGTATAGTCCCGAAGTCGAACGAGTGAACTTGAACTGATCGGATAAAACGTGGGAGGGCCACCTGCTGGAACTTGTCATGGATGAAGGAGCGGATTCGCTCGGCCAGAGCCTCACCGTCCGGCCCAGAGGTGGCTGTCCTCCAGTCAACTTCGATTGACATTACATGTGCAGCAGACAATTATTCGGCGCGAAGTGGGCAAAAGAGGGGTGGGTATGTGAAAGCGAAGAATCGCTTGGACGAGAGAGGACCGGAGCTGGTGGTGAAATTGCGCCGCAATGCGAGACTCCACAGGGATTAATTTAGGCGCAGTCGCCGCGGACCAACTCGCGTCCCGCGCCAGTCACGTGATGCCGCAGTAACCTCATCGATGACATTGTAAATCAGCAGTGGACGTCTTCCCATGGCATTTCCCGGCCACAATCCCAAAGTACAATGTTCAAGGATATCCCAGGCACCTCGTAAGGGTCTCAGGATCGCTGGTAACCCCCTTTGGAGGGCTTTTACGATGCATGCGGCTTTCACACCGCTTTAGGTTTACCTGACCCAGTACTTTGGTTCACCAGTGCAGCCGACGCCATTTCGGGGCATATTAGAGGATGGCACAATCTCTGCGGCGCCGTACGGTGGGAGCCCTGGAACAGCGTGTTCGCCGGGCACAAGGGCCTACAACGAGCACTGCTCTCGCCCCCTCTCTTCCTGCCTTTGGCTCCTCGAACCTATCCATCGGTTCCACTTCACATCCGATTAGTACCCAACATTCAAGATTCTAACCACTATCATTGGTGATTTTCACTCATGAATCACACTCGTGCATTTCCTCCTATGACTCTTTTGACAGGGGGGATCTCCCTATGATTGTCTTTCTAGCATGCATCTTGGTGTCTGATTGTTCGCCTGCGGCAACGTCTTTTTCCTCTTGAGGGGGCACGTCGTACCGCAGTCTCCTCGCCTTGCTTTTCTTTCAAGAGAAGGTGATAGGCCTTCTTGGCGCAGAGGCGAAACGCCACGTATGTATCTGCTGCTTCTTGCGGTGGGCTGGCAACAAGGGCCGACGCTACCGCATCGGGTCCGCAGGACACAACGCAGTCCTTTGTGCGTACCTTGGAAGGAAGAATATCCCGCCCCTCAATCCGCAGCATAGCAGTTCTCTGGCTTAAACATCTGTCTTATAATTCAAAATTCTTATGGGTCTCTAACCCTCTAACTGCGGGATTTGACCCATCACTTGCGCATCACTTTCCAAAGACAGTTTAACACATGATCCTCCAGAACCTAATATACGCGCGCACCTCATGCTCACTGACTCGGTATCTCTATTATTTCGTTGGCTCTCAATCAATCCGGATCGCCGCTGGATAACAAGCATCTGTGCCCCGTTTCATTATTTGATTCGACGAGCCTGTAATCAGATGATGAGAGACGTATGCGGTGCTAATGCAGCCGCTGACATACGTTGCTAATCATAGTTGCCAAGAGTGGGTTTTAAAGAAGAAAAAAAAATTTTCTGAAAGAAAAGCTCTTGGAGTTTTTAATTGTTCCGTGGGAGCGGTTGGACCGCCTCGCTCGCAAATGATGACAACCGGCAGAAGGCGATTAAGATGAAATTGAGCGCCCCTTGTTCATACCTTGGATAGGCTCCTTTACATTCTTGTCTTTAACGCACTGTGCCCAGCGATGAACAATGAGATTGGGAAAGCCCGCCGTTTCATGATATGCATCCGGGGCTCATAAGCTTATTCTTCCACATGAAATGCTCAACAACTGAAGTTGGCGATAGATTTAGGAATATGTAGTGAGACATTTCTCCTGCTATAGTATATACGGATCTAGGATTTGCCTTGGCCATCGCCGTGACTACGGCAGTATTATTGTAGAGACTTTGAGGCTAGACAACCTTCAGAGATGTTTTAGTTGAAGGCTATTCTCTAAGAGCTCTCTAGTATGATCGATCTTCCAACGCTTGACGGGTAAAAATCCTTCAGGAATATGGGGCCAAATGATGGATCCATCGCATCAAAAGGTCGATCCTTATGACTTCATTGTGTAACTCCTTGCAAACATAAGAGTGAATAGAAATCACTATCGGGGAGTCCAGTGCCTTACTTGCAACATATTCTCGTCTCAGTTCAAGAAAATACTATAATCAGATCAAAAATGTAGGATTCAGCTAAACAACTTCGACATACAGCGCAGCAAATGCCTTGGTAGAAAAGACGCAGCAAGAACAACAAACAAGCGACAATGTGGCTTTAACAAGAAACCTTTGCCCCAGTAGTAAGTTCAGAGGGCACATCGCAGAAACGAAACAACAGGAGGATGCGGACAGGCGCTTGCAACCAGTAGTAACCACAAAACAGAACAATGCGTACGCTATGAGAGAAAAGCCGAGCCGGGGCATTCATGGTATTGACAGACGGCAAATAGACAAAAAACCCCTTTTTTTTTTCTTTTTCTCTTTTTCTTAGCTCCCGATTAAGCTCTCGTGATCTCCAAAATGGTTCGCTTGGATACATCGAAGTGTTTCAAAAATACAAAATTCGAGGAGGATTGCGAGTGCAGTAGCACTGTAGTATTGAGAAAGGCTAGGCTGGACGTGCTTCTGGAAGCACATATCGAAAGGCGATGGTTGAGGTCCCACATCCCCTGGCCTTTCTGGACCCAGTTAGCGAGAGCTTTTTGAAACAGCCGCCACAGTTGAACTCCTCCTACCAGTAACTTTTCTAGTCCCTAGCCACCATGAGCAGGGCAGTTGTAGCCCTCACGGCGCCGGACTTGCTGTCTCACGCCGGTGCAGGATGTTCCTCGCTTTGCGCAGTAGACAACATCACCTTCGGGGTGAGTACAGCCGCAGTCGTACTTGTAGAAGTATTGCGAACACATTCTGAAGACTTGAGGTTGATGGAGCTGAAAAAGGTGGACTTATTGAGAGATAAAGACAGTCAAGCCGACTCGGTCGAGCAACTTATGGATTTCAGGGAGGACGAAAGATGTCGAGCTCGAAGATCTGCTTGGAGGGCAAGACTGAGAGATGAAATCGCTGTGATGTTGTCCTGATAGTTCGACGGATTGTGAAGACCTTAAATAACAATTGCTCGGTCTTGCTTTTGTACCAAAATGATAGAGAATGACTGCGGACAGCTGTGCCGCAATAGCACCATTTACAAGAAATAACAAAAAAGGTACCAAAAGGGGCTTGGAATAAATAATTACAATAATAAAAATAATAAAATGATCTTTAATAAAAAAAGAAAGCCGGGGCAGAAGAATGAAAGTAAGAACAAGGTTAGTCAAGATCTCAACTACGGACACAGCGCCTTTCCTCTTCTTTTCTTTTTTTTTCTTGCGCCCCCATCCACAAAGAGGCATTTAGAGAAATGCGCCGGAGAAGTTGGTGACACGATCTACATCACGTTCAGGGGAAGATTTCAACGAATGAACCAAATGGTAAATTGAGCTTCCGCAGAACTACTGCACGGAGTTTCCCCAACACCAAAAAAGATTGGCGGCTATGCGGATGGTCTGTGAAGGTGGTGTCCACCTGAGGTTGGCGTAAGACAGTTATTACTAGAGTGAGCCATAACTGTAGTGGCCAGAATAGCAACGAAACTTCGGTTGTAGCCCTGCCGGGAGCTTCAATAGACTTTCCCAGATGCATCATGAGAAACTTTGACATCATCTTCAGGACAAGACCCATGCATCAGGCAGGGAAGGGCCAGTCACATATGCAAACGAAAAAGCCAACAGTTGCGCTATCAAATCAGTTCTCGCAGCCAGCCAACAGTACTCTCACAGTTTAGGGTCATGCCGCAACCAGGCACTGTTCCTTAATAGGCATCTGACGAATGTCACGCAGTACCTTACCTAGATTTATCACTAGGCTTATCACAAAAGTCTCTTTATCATGTGTACCTCAAGGCCCCAATTGATGGATGGAGGGGCAAGAATATCTTCCAACGGTCCAATCTAATCGGCCCGATATCCAAGTCGATAATCATCGCCAGTCATGTCTACCACCTTGCGAGCACTGTGCCTGGCACTAACCTGAAGGACACTGCGGTAATACTTGACACATGGGCCACCTGCTCCAGTCAAGGGTGCCGCAGTTTCTGGGCATATGCCTGTCTGACAAAGATATCAACAAACAAGGAGTACCTATAGGGCTCCGCTGAGGCATATTGGAGAAACCGTGGCCAAGGCTCGCAGACTAGAGGGAATAATCTGCAAGAACCGCACAGCCATCACGGAAAGGTTGGCCTTGGTGCCTTGAACTGACCAATGCCTGGGGCAGAGGAGGTAAACGCAGTTGGTGATACCTGCAAGACATGAGTGAGCTCCTCCTCACCCTCGGAAACCAGAGCGAGATCGCACGATAGCACGACGCCCTCGGAATTCAGATCAAGTGAGACTATGCGGTTCCTGCCTTATGACGGCCCCATTTGATGGCCATGTTGGTGTGATAATGGCACAGGGTTTCCACTGCCGGCTAGTCTAGCGTTCGGCAGTGCAAGACAGCAAATCTCCGCCTATCGATTTCTCGTGTTCTTCATAACCACCTAAGCTGGAAAGCTCGGGGTCAACTCTAATTGAGTGACAATTGAATTCAGAACGACTGCACCGCATTGCGGCGCTCATCCATTGGGGAGTAGATAATCATCCTATGGTCAACGGCAGTCACATTTGGCCCTCTCAGCCGCTGAGCATCCGCGCCACGTAGTGGACGGTCGAGCGATACGGCACGGAGACAGGGGGCGCTAAATCTGCGACAATCAGCACCTCAAACGGGGAGGGCACGGCCCCAATTTAGCCGCCGTTGGCTTTTGCGCCAGAACATAGTGGATAATCAGAAGTTATTTGGCTTCGAGTGTTTGGGGTTTATCTTGCGGCAACTGGAGGCTCAGAGCACGTGATGGTTTTGTGCTGCGTTTTGAGAGCCGCTTGTTGATTTAGGTTATTTTTCTCTCTTTTTCTCTCCTTTTATTTTATGCAACTTCCTTTCCCAAGCTCATGATCAAAGATTATTTCAAAGATGTTTCTGATTCTTGCAAATTCAACGGGCGTTGGCGAACGTTGTGTTCTCCCGGAATATTCAAGGTCGTGGAGCACTTATCGCATACCATGTCCTACTATGGACAAAATGTACTGAACTAGTCCTACTGACATCATTTTGGAAGAGGACCGTACATTAAGTCAGTCAACAAAACAAAACAAACAGACCAGCTTTGATTTCCCCCAATGTGGCTGAAACTTGCCCTTGCTTGGGTAATTTAACCTATCCCTTACCGTTCTGCCTTCTAGAAAGCGTCAGGAAAAAGTGTCAACTCAAGCATGCTGCCAAGCGGGCGAGACTAATTGGCTGGGGTCATGTGCCCCTGGATACTACATACTAGTAGTCCGGAGTAGTACTTAGTCTCTTGATAAGGAATGTGGGAGGCAAAAAACGTTCTGTACACCGTCGTCCCTTCTGGGTACGCGGAGTGACCCCTCAGCCTATCGATCACTGATAGCAATCCAATAGTTCCGGCACGTTTCTTGGCTTCACTTCCTGGTTGCTGATCACCCGAGGCTGATTTTTCGGGTCGTATCGGCCCAGATGCTTGTACAAGGGACAACACCTCAGCTTGCGCAACGAACGGCCAGCTTCGGCTTGGCAGGTTACTGGGGATTCCCCCGGATACTTGAGGGAGCTATGCACATATTGGCGACAACTCACCGGGTCTTACCTGAGCCAAGAGTTTTGAAGGAAGGGGGGATCTTCCAAAATGACGTTCTCTGCCCCGCCGAGACATGAAAGAATGTTCGAAACATGTGAATTACAGCGTGTCCCGGTCCACCTCGGGGAAGCAGATTGGGATATTCAACCTCTGTACGGAGTAATCTGGGACTCTCCACTATCTCTACAGGTGGGATGGACACAGATCGACGTCCCTCCCGGTATCATCCATGAACCTTGTCGACCCCTCTTCCCTCCTGAGGATCTTGGCTGTTTCCCTCTCATGTATAAATAGGTAGCCGAGTCCAACCGAGAAATCTCTCCAGATCAATCTCAAGCCTCTTTCTTCTTCTTCTCATCCTTCAGTCCAAAGCTCTTTCAGTGTGCCAAAGACTTCGAAGCCATCTACTCTTCTATTCTATCTCTTTCCCAGCCCCAAAAGACAAACCAGATACCAATCTACTTTGCAAGATGTATACCTACACTCCTACCCACAAGTTCCTCGTTCTCTCTCCCATCCATTCTGGTCCCATGAATGACCAAGTCGAGAGCAAGGAGCCAACTCAAGTCCGTGAACGCTCCAGCAGCCAGTCTTCTACAACCTCCACCGGATCACAGCTGAGGGGTGTCTTCTCCCCTCTCCCCGGTGGCTTCCTCTACCTGGGACACGAGCAAGACAGAAACTAAAGTCTGACGCCACATAAGCTTGCGCACGCCATCCCACTTCACCAATCGCGCTGGACACGATACATCTGCAAGCGACTCGGCCCAAATCCACCCTGCACCGGACGAAGGGAAGGAGCACTAGCGGTTTCATTTCTTTATTGTTTTCAAACATCGGTTTCTTTACGAGATGGTTTCTTATCTCCCTGAATGATTTTTTTGTTGTTTCGGTGTTCATCTCCTCACCATATCAATGATACCACACTGCCAGGGGGAAAGGGGGGAAAAGTGAAGAATGAAGTGAATGTTTGCCAAGGAGATGTTGATATAGTTGCCAAGCCCTGTGCAGTGAAAATGAAAATCAATAGGCTGTCCTGTGTTGTTCCACAGCCAAGCAACAATAGATTCAAGATCGACTTCGTCTATTAGCCTGCCAAGATCCCTTGTCTGTATCACGTATACTGTATAAAAAAGTAGAGGTAAAAAAGTACGAAGCTATCCCCCAGGGTCCTCGTTCTCCGTGACCCCAACTAGGCAAAAGCCCGCCGTGGAGTAACTCGAAGAGGGAAAATCACCAACGCTATCTCAAGCTTACTATAGCTTACTGAATCTACCAATCAGTCCATGCGGATCCTCAGATCCTCATTTTCCAGGAGACACGCACCACCGATTAATAATCCGTAGGTTACTATTACGATAACCTAAAATTCTAGATTGTCGCCTTTCCCGCGGAAAGACTTACCCCGTCAAGTCAAAACACCCACACTCGCATCCCTTAAACCCGCGAGGGACAAGAGCAAAAAAGGAAAAAGAAAATTCAACCCGAAATTGCATCATCGTCATAATCACTGATAAGCCGAAGCCAACCTGGAGGTGGGGTGTGGGATCGACAACACCTTCTAGGCCGGAGGGATGTCGGTGTAACCCAACCTCCCTCGAAATACTATGCAAGAATGCTTTATTCGTTATCGTTACTTTCTTGGCTGTTATGTGTACACCCTTCAATGCATAAGCTGGGTGGCACATTATTTTCTACTGTGTGCATACGTACGTCCATAGGCATGCTGTGCTCATCGGTTAGCGCAGATCAGATGTATCATACTTAGGGTTCGTTCTTGCATGTTTGCCAAGATGGGGTCTGGAGGTCATGGGATTGGGGCTGAGTAGGACGAAAAATAGCATACTTACTGCAGGATAACATCATAATTTATTTATTTTTCTTTTGTTTATTTGTTTGTACTTACTTACTGCTTCTCCTCTTTGAGCGAGGAGGATGTTGGAAGATTAGTTAGATTCATAGTATCGTAGGTTCGAGGGCTCTTTCTAATCAGTCTCAGCAGCTTGATAGAGTCAATTGTATACAACATTATTTCATTTGCCTTCTCTCCCAACCACTCCCATGCTAGTAGCTGTTAGACAAACTAGGAAATATCCATTATAGTCTTGGTGCTCAGAAAGTTAATACATCTGACAACTCTGCCCACCCAGGGCGGCCCTCTTCACTCCAAACTCTCGTGGTAGCAGAGATTGGACCCTATAATAGAGAGTACAAGAGTATTTCTGAAACGCTTAGCCGGGCTATAAGCCGGGGGCTAGAGGGTCGATTACCGGAAAGCTATATTAACTAAGATCTCTAGATCTTATACAGAGCTCAACCCCTGTTGCTTGTTGTCCGCCCCAGCTGTTGGGTCATTGTAACCCTCGAGGGTATTCTCTGCTCATCTTGACAATTCATGTGCAGGAATAGAAAACATATGTATACTCGTCTGAAAGCAACATGTACCAGTAGCTGACCATAGACATGGTGGTTGAGCAGGGCATCATAGGATGGCACATTAAGAATATATCCAGGAGAAATACTCCTTTCTCTCTCTCTCTCTTCTTATACTGATAGCTATTATTATACTCCCAGTTGAATTGCATATTCCTCCTGCGATATCACCTAATCTAAGTGTGCCTCATAACTCTGCCGAAGAAGCTTTTTCATAGTAGACTATCCTCTAATGAGCCTATATCACTTCGACTGAAGGATGTACCACACCCCCATGTTCTAAATGGCTCCATAAAGCTCCTTAGATGGGGCACTGCTCCTTCTCATCCATGTATTAACCCCTCCTAAGCCTCAATGAACTGGAACCTCACTCTAATGATTAGATCAAAGCACGGACATATTTTTCTTTTCTAATAAAAACACTCAGTTATGTTATTTGGGTGTTTGGAGATTCAATAAGCTTAGGTGCAGAAGACCCAGGATAACAAGAAGAGCCCCATAGATCACTCAACCCGCTTGTCCAAACCTTGTATGACTCCACCAAGAATACATAACCAGAATCACATACCAGTATCTCAAATATTCTACTCCAACACTATGTGAAATGCATCTGACCACCCCACAACACACACTCATCCGCATATACACACTAAAGCCAACAACCGACGCTTAAATCTATAAATATCAGCAAACGGCCCGAACACTTAAGATCCCTGTCAATCTGAAGATCCTCTTAGCCGAGATTCTTGGCTGTTCCCCAACGGCCGCGTCCAACAATGGGATTATAAATGAGCCTGAAACGAGTCATGTGGTATCCATTGTGAAAGATTGTTATACACCAACATTGGATGCAACGTTAGTCGTACATGTTATTTCCCGTTGTTCTTGTGACTTGCTTCCATTTGTTTGTATGGGGCCAAACACATGCTCCGCCCCGTTCGCCTCGGCGCTGAGTGTTTCAATTTTGACGCCGTTGCGAAGTCAGTCAACAGGTATATTATTACTTGGGGATCTATTCATAGATTCCGAGACAGTATTAGGTAGTCTAGAGTCTCTAGGTAGAATTCAGTAAATCTTCCAATTAATATGTTACTGTACTAAAACTAGGCATGCGGGGATTTGCCATAGTATAGAAGTAGATTAGCGTATATGCCCTAGCTCAATGTACATGCTCAACCATGAGAGTTGTTATTACTGTCAAGCAATAGAGGTATATCTAAGGAGGTGGAAATGGGGGGCACGACCATGAACCGCATGTGAAATGTTTCCAATGGATAGTAAACATATTAAATTACCCTCAAATAGTCCTGCTCAGCTAAGATGTCCGCCATGTCATATCAAAAGCCCCCCTCTTAGGAGGATTGTGACTTGGTAACAGTGAAGACCAGAAGTTAAAAAAGCTGCTCAAGTAAAAAGAAAAATAGACGGGATCAATTTACAGTCAGGGCTATAATAACAGGGAAAGAAAAGAAAATTGAACAAAGGAACTAAAAAATTTATTCTGACAAAGGAAAAATAAAATAAATAAAATAAAAAAGGCTAAACATGGATATGTATGCGGGAACAAAGGTTGCTGGTACAAGAGAGGACAAACCGATAGCTGCAACAGAAGGGGCCGAAAACTGCTGGGTATCATGGGGTATCCAAATAGCCTCTCTGTTTATTGTTGGGAATCTAAGACCCTGTTTGACTCGAATTTTCCTTCCAAGTGTGATGTTCGATTGAGATGAGCCTTATTCCATCTTGAGCGTGGAGCTCTAAAGTCCTATGTGGACGACACGGCATCTCGGCAACGGGTGGGATGTGTTAAAAGTTGTTGGACATATTCACATATTCAAATCCCGGAATACAGGGGTGAAGCCAACAACCAGAATAGCCTGTTTGTTTTGATTGGTATTGCATGGGCACACCAAGATGTTGACATGTTAACCTATCGGGTTGGTTGAAGAGAAATAGAGAAATAACAAAGATGATCTTGATCTACCGGTCATCACCAGCCCTTGACTTCGCTCGTCGACGGAAGAAATCCATCACCTTCCTGGCCGCACCAGAGCTGCCAGAGTGGTGTGATGAATCGCGCTCGTACTCATAGGCATCGGCAAATTTTCGATGATTCTTCTGTAGGACACTGGCTCCTCTTGTTGGTCGGGCAGCTGACGTAGATTGCCGAGGCGCGCTGTCATATGGGCCGTTGTATTCTTCGTAGTAGTTCGGTGTCGAGTGATTGGCGTATTGGTTCCGATAATAGTGATCATTGTCGTTCTGGTACACCTGCTCAGCCGAGTAGGACGTTGGTTGATACGTCACAGATTGGGTTCCATGCAACACTGCAAACTGCTCATCAATACGGGCCTGGTAGTTGACGGGCTCATCTTGGACGAAGACCTCATCTGCCGGTGCCCCTTCTGGCATGACTCCTATTGCATCATGTGTTCCGTGGCTGGTCGCACGTGCACGGGGTCGTAGTTCCCCGGTTGATGGTTTTTGCGGAGCCCGATTATCCGTGGAGCGATCAGCTTGTGACTCTTCATCAGGGGTTTGAGATCTACTCGAAGAAAGACCCTTGAGGGAGAATGACGCCGGCAAGAGGGAGAATCTACGAGGCCGACTCTCGCCACCTGTCTCGCTCGTCTTCCGGTTTGACCCATATTGCATGGATCGCCGTGAATCCATAGACATCCGGGGCATATCGCCACCATTAGGGTCTCTCATACTTGTAGGAGGATAACGTTTGCCGCTTTTTTGACGAGCATTTGCCTGTCCACCACGTCCTCCAAAAATGGACCCAGACCGCCCAAACAATTTCTCGCCAATTCCCGAGACAGTATTTGATCTCTTGTGGCCTTTCGGGGGCTCTTGTCGGGGGGTTGTATTGAATTTTGCAGGAAGAGCCTGGGTGCTCGGACGGCCAATCGACACCGCAGTCTGTTGTGAAGGGTCCTGAGGCATGGGGTTCGAGATAACATATTGCTTGCTCTTCGGTTGTGCCAGCCGACCATGCGCATTGGTTGCCGCCACAGTGGGAGCCACGGGCTGTCCGTAGGATCCTCGCGACGGTAAACGACCGGTATTGAATGAAGACATGGACGCACCCGTGGTAGGCCGCATAGATTGTGGCTGGGGCATTGTCCCGGCTCCCGTAAGTGCTGTCGAGTCCGAAGTTGAACGAGGCAAATGCCCAGATGGTGGGCGCTGTGCCTTGGAATCTCCGGCCTGTGCGCTTGGCGCCATAGGCGCGCCTTGCGGTACGCCACTGGTGGGTGTGACTGTCTCAGCATCTCGGCTATTTGACCTTGCTCCAGTGGGCGCATGCTCAGCGGTTTCAGCAACACTCGATGGGCCAGCGTAGTTGATCCAATGCCCTCCCCTCTCGTAGTCTGAGACGAAGGGGCAACATATTCGACCTGAACGGTTCTCCGTTTCGTGTCCCGGGGAGTCTTGGAGCTCTCGGCAGGCTGTTCCTGTGAGATATCGCCAGCGTGGTGAACAAGGCCGCCCAGAGAGGGGACTGTGCTTTGATAGATTTTGGGAGGCTCTCTAACCGACGCACTGCGTCCGAGGGATGGGGCCTCTTTAGGTTGTTCTGTTGGATGCAACGAATTAACAGGTAAACAGTGTACACTTCCCGAGAGCGCCGTACCATGAGAAACGGTCGTAGTAGCAATATCAGCGACCTTGGTTGTACTGCTAGTTATGTGTGATACAATGTGCGAGTACTCATTAAGCCAACTATGCCGTGCAACCTCGAACAGATCTGCTCGCTTCCGCGGATCCGGAACCAATATCCGTCTCAAGAGGTCACGGGCATGTGGAGTCACATACTCGGGGAACGTGAGAGGAGTCGTGACAATATACTTATAGAGGAGGTTGATATTATCACCGTCCGGATTGGCGGGGTCATCATCGAATGGCAGATAACCGGCAAGCATTGCATACTAAGCAAGCGGACATGTTAGCTTCTTCAACGAGTAGGGTGGATTACAAACAAAAAACGCTATCGGCCCAGGCCCTTACCAAGATGACACCACAGCTCCAAACGTCCACTTTACGTCCGGTATACAGCGAATCGCTAACGACAAGCTCTGGTGCAGCGTAACAGGGACTCCCACAGCTGGTTTGCATCAAATCACCACGCCTTAAGCCCTTAGCATTAGGCTTGTCAAGGCGCATCCTCTTTACAAACTCCTTGTTTGTAAGATTATATTCGATCTCCTCGCCAAGCTCATCTATCGGATCGAAGGTGTTCGCGAAACCAAAGTCTGTGATGATGATGTTACGATTTCGATCCAGTAGTAAGTTTTCCAACTTTAAGTCTCGATGGACAATGCCCTTTTTGTGGAGGTAACCAACTCCAGATACCAACTGCGCAAAGAGACGTCGAGCTGCATTGTCTTTGAGATACCGATTATTCAGGATATGATCAAAAAGTTCGCCCCCAGACGCATATTCCATAATGATACCGATGTGCTTATCAGTCTCCACCATCTCGTGTAATCGGACGATGTTGGGATGGGAAAGATCGCGCAAGATCGAAATTTCCCGGTAAATCTTGGGCAGCCGGCTGGGGTTCGATCCGAGAGACTCCCTCCGGATTAGCTTGATAGCCACCTGGATACTGCCATCCCTCTTCCACCCCAGCTTCACTTTCCCGAACTCACCCTCTCCTAGCGTTTGTCCTAAAATGTACTGACCGAACGTTGTCTCCTTCCGCTTAATTGAATTCTCGTTGTAATCATGCCGACTCCGCAGCCCGCCGCGGCCTCCATCATCCACGCCGTCACTACCCACCAAGCCCAGCCCAGGGGTCGGAGTACCATCAGTCGACGGTGATACTGATGTACCGGATTGTCGGACCTGTTCTCGCTCGATGTCCACCGACGGGTCGCTCACTAAGACTTGATTGATCAATGTGCTCGACTCCTTGGCCAAGGTCCCTTGACCCGGCAACGCTCCGTGGGGTTTTCCGAGCGCATGGGCGCAGAAGACGAAGCTGCCTGGCTTCGACTGTTCACCCCTCCCACTCCTCCGGACTGGTCCTCGGACGTTCTCGGGGCTGTTCGCCGGGACCGTGAGTCCTCTCTTCTCCTTTCGCGGTTGTTTGCGCTCCGCTCGTCGCCTTTGCTCTTGCCTTGGCGCGAACCTGGAGCCCTCTCGCTTGATCCGTGATTCCGCTGTGTTGAAGAGGTCCTTGGTGGTGGAACGGGCGGTGCACCGAGAAGGTCCGGGTATATTGGGGATCGGTGGTTATTCTGGGCGGGCGCAGGCGCCGCCGAGGTCAGGGCTGGGGATGCATGGGCGGCGTGTGGCAAGGACTGCGATTGGAGGTCGTTCATAGCCGAGAAACCTGTCGGGGCCAGGACAGAAGATAGCTGCTGATAACTTAGCGCACTGTTCATGATACCTCCGAATGTGTGATTTGACGGTCACGGCTGCTGCATCGACCCTGGGAGGGAATTTGAATAATGACGTAACGCATAACTGAAGTGTGAGGCTGATACAAAATTCTGACGGGAATGTAAAGTAGTAATAGTGGTGGGATGGGCTGTTGTGAAATCAGGAACCGTTTGCATAGCAGGCGACATACCTCGTTTAATCAAGGTGCCACAGTGGCTAAGGGGGAAATGATACTGCGTTTCCGAGACAGCTTCTCCGAGCGCGTAGACAGTTTTTTGAGTGATCACTTCACTGTTGATTGGCCAATTGCGATCGGCGGTTGGAACTTGATATATCAAAGCCCTCCAGAGGGTTGTGTATTTTTTATTTTTATTTTTCTTTCTTTTTTTGGGTGTAAAAAAAACCTGTCCGCTAGATTCGAGTGCTAGCTGCTGGTCCGTTCGGTCGGGCACCTAAGTTATTGTTTTCAGTTAGTTCAACAATGGTCGGAGCAACCGATAAGGGGTGTCAATGGTGACGACTGACAACCACCAGCGAAACAATTCAAAATGAAACCACAGGCAAAAGCAATACAAGTAATTGTTGGTATTTCGAGAACACCAGGCCAATGAGTCCAACGGTCAACGGAGGTAACGAAAGCACGCGTAAAGACGACCGATCGATTGATGGTCTTCCCAACGTTTTCCTTTTTCATCAAATTTTTATAGAAATTTTGTTTCCTTACCCACAAAGCCAGACGAGTAGGGTATATCTGCACTGCAGAGTTTCCTCTTGTAATTCACCTCTCTCCACGACTATCTACTACCCAGTTGGGTAATACAGTTAAGAGTGGGTTGCGGCTCGAAAGAATGTGAGAACTCCGGAGACGAGACCGACAAACGCGGGCGGAGAAGCAGCCTCGGGAGACGCGATTTCACCACGAGCCCACTTCTCGTTCCTACTGAGTCGAAGTTGGCGCGAAAGTCTTCTTTCCACGGCGCTTCACCGGCTCAACACTGCTGGACGAATTGACAAGGCAGAGTGTAGGCTGCGACGAGAAGCATGATCGACTCGAAGGGAAAGAATTAAAGAAGAAGCAAGAGGGGTGGTCACTGGTGGAGGTCGACCCTCTGTGATCCGGAGAGCGGACAGGGGGGCGGCGCGAGGGGAGATGAAGAGCTCGGCGGGAAGTGAACCAAACCCCAAAAAAGAACGGGTCGCGGGAGAGGATGGACCTCGAAAGGGTGAAATAATTGACACCCAAGGGAGGAGCGATAAAACCAGGGGGGAAAAAATAGGAAGAAAGAAAGAAGGGGACAACAAATAAAAGGAAATGGGAGGAAAAGGTAAACGAAGAAAGGATGATGGTTGGGAGGGAAGGGAAAGAAAGAGTAAGCCCGTGAAAAAGAAAGAGTAAGAGTATGAGTTGGAGCTCTGGATACCCTCTTTTTCGGGGTTTTTTTTTTTTTTTTTTTTTTTTTTTGGCCTTTCCGGACCAGTTACCAGTACTAGCTTAAGGTACCTAGTACTAAAGGTAGTAGTAGTACTGGTACCTGACTTACTTTACTTACAACTAGGAACTAGAACCAAAGTAGACTACGTTGCTTTGCTGGCCGGGGCAAAAAGAAAAAGAAAAGAAGGAAAAAAAAAAATATAAGCCAGTGAGTCGCTCACAGCGGGTCAATGGGTCCAACAACTAACCAACGACTTATATTAACCATGATTATGACATGGTTTGAAAGTCCATATAATTATTAAAGTCATTCCAGTAATTGTGATAAACCGGAAGAGATAATTCTCAATCTCCGGACCTGATATATGGACCAGTATCTTTTAGAATGCCGTTCCTGGAATAGTTGAGTGGATAATGTAGGATAATCCACTTGCTGTTTCTCTGGTTCTCGAGAGTCAAGGTTCCCGAAAGCAAACATGACCTGATCACCTATTATTCTCCAAGACCTGAACGTGTTCTTGTCCCTTGCCTTGATGGGTTGGGAATAATATAGGCGCTAATCCAAAGATATTAATAGCGATTAATACCCGGGGTTTCGTCAATCAACAGTTGCTACTACGTACATCCTGAGGCATCCTAATAACCGTTACCTATCAACAGGTCCAAGATGGGGAACTACTAGTAGTAGGTACCACTATATCCACCCTACTGCATCCACAACGTACGTGCGATTACAGGAATAATATGTAGCTCTCGTACATCACACACACGATTGAGACACATATCACCTCCACCGACAACGATGCTGTTTTTTGTTTCTTTTAAAGAGAACCATAATCTAGATTCCAACTTGTGTTTTCAAATTAGACTGACCAAGGGAAATGAGGGTTGCCAAGTCATCAGGGGTAAAGCGAACCACTGTTTCATCTCCCGGGACGGCAAGTTCACTAGAGCCTCTGGGGCGAGCCGATCGTCATCTTGAAGCGCCAGTGCGAAAATTCCGCCGTTCTTGATTGGTTCTTGAGACGGGGTTACCTGTTCGGAGCCCTCCGTACCCCTGCCACTTCCAACCCAGGGATTTATTATGGTTGGTGTTGATTTGCATGTTTCTTGTGTTTCTCAACTGACTTTGAGTCTCCTGCTATTCTATTTTACCCTAACGAATGACTTACAGCAAATGGTAAGCCCAACCGAGCAGTATCTATGACAACAGACCAACCCCCTTTCCCCCAACCTCCACCCCGGGCTCAACCATGGTAGGGGTGTCACTGACCCAGAGTTCTCTCTGCCCACCAATTGTGCTTGAATGATTGGTTAACTAATCGGAATCTTGATGTTCTCGTGAGCTTAAATTCTATATCCCTTGGTTTATCGATCATATTTTCGATCTATCTTATCATCATTCTTTACGTCCCGCATTCCAGAGCAGATCTCTATTGTCCCGGGTTTAAGGTTCCCTGTCATAATTTAGCATAACCTTTAGCTCGGTGATTGGAACTGACACCAGTAGTGCAGTAATGCATAAGTATTACATATGTTCAACAGTGGGGTATATCATATACAGCACTAGGCTCCCCAGTAAGGACATCCCAGCATTCAAAATAATTCATTCCAATAAAGGAGGTAGATAGTGAGGTACACACGCAAAGCATGTACTCGGAGAGATTCGTCATCAACAGACATCGTACAGTTTTCTGTGGAAACATTGTGTTGTGCTTTTCCATTTCCAAGCCGACTAAATTAATTACAATCCAGGGCAATCTCAGATTAGCCGACCCTTTAACTTTCGCCATCAGGATCGCCCTACGGGCAATGGACAAATTAAAATGCCAATAAACCTGTGGTTACTGAGCGCTCACACAGGACCCTCATATAAGTGGCGGGACCCAATATAAGATATTCAGAGCAGCTCGTAGAATAATGCTACAGCTATACATTGCTATTTAGGAAGATTCATGTTCTATCGTACAAGCTAAAACTATTCTCAGAATTGACCACTGAATTACTTTGCTCATCTTGATATACAAATGTCAGATATTTGAGCCCACCGCATGGGGTTGCACAGCGTTTAAGCCTTATTCATATACATAGTTAAGCGTGTCCAATCGCTTCGACTATCTGCGTGATACTTTATCCCAGTGCATCCAACTTCCCCTAACTGGTGTTCTCCTTTCGTCTTTCGATCGCTTCTTATTCTCCATGGACCTCATCAACCACATATTGCTCACGCTGTCTTCCTTGCACCGTTGGTCACGGGGAGCTCTCGCCTTTGCCAGGTGTTAGTCAAACAAACCACGAGATGATCACAGATCACATGACTGACTATAGGAAAGGACTGTCTTATAGTGACGGCCCCAGCAAAGCCAACTGAAAGGCCGAGGCAAATATGCAAAGTTGTAGAAGGATCAGAGTACGTGGCAGGATTTCACATACCAAGCAGAGCCTACGAATATCCTTGTGATGCTAAATCTTCGGTAAGAGAGCCGCAGGTATTTCATATTGTCTATACACTCACTAATCATAGTAGTGCACTGAATCGGGAATCGATGGCTTTATTAGACTATCTCATGTACCAGGTGGAGCCAAAGGACGAAGTTCGGACTGCTGGACGGGCGGCGGGCGTCGGGAAGGGTTTACACCTGCAACGTTGCCGGAGAAATAGAAGAGGATGAGGATAGATACGACGGTGGTTTTCATGCCGAGACACTTCTGCTTATAGTCAGTTTCAGAGATTCAGATGAATAATACGTTACTCACCTGGTAGAACAAAAAAGCATTTGTTTCTAGGTGGATTATCCATGCCAGATAGCGGGTCACTTTTATCCTTCGGGGGCTAGGAGCATGGATGGTGTTCTAAATATTGCAGTTCTTTGAGGGCACTTCAGAACTCCGCACCATAGCATTATACATGTGGCACTTTCAGTAAATAACCGTTCTTACCATACTTACTACAGAAGCTAAACATATACAAAACTAACTACAAGAGCCGTCCATCTCAGGGGTAGCACGCCTATGCGTTCTGCTTTTTGCCAACACCTTCCAACGGCTTATGATTCTACTCGGGTATTGGCCGAACATTTGGACCACGTAGCAACAGCCCTACTGCGGAGAAGGTTTCTCTTACGTAGCCTAGTATTGGAAGTATCCACCCAGTTAGTAGATAGGCGAGAGTCTGAGATATCTAGAGTAGATATTTGGCTATTGATAGGCGGGAGAGTGGGCCTCGATCAAAGTAACCCACTCTCCACATGGCAGGGCAAAGCGAGGAAGACAGATCCAGGAAACCTTTTGTGCTCAATACTTAAAACGGATAGTTCTTTTCGAATATCTAATATGACTCTTGGGCATAAGGTATCTTCCATAACTGGTATGTACAGGAATTTAAAATTTAGACATTAACTCCGCTGTAACTGATATCAAGCTCCGAGTAACAACAAGATCATGAAAATATGATCACAGGATTTAGCTCCAAATCTTGAAGGAACAAGACAAAAAAAAGAAAATATTAGAAAGCCGAGAGTTATACTAAAATTCTTGCATATCATGCAATATTCAGTTTTTGCCCCTTGACATGCCTATGCCACCGAGCGACGTTGTGTTAGGGGCACCATAGGCGGGCGGCGGTGTAGGGGTCGGGGATGGGCGTCTTGCAACGGCATCACGTCCACCTGATCCTGAGGTTCTATTGCTCCGACCTCCTGCAGCCGGGGGTACATCTCCGCCGTCACCGCTACCGACCACAACTTGCTTTCCGTTGCGCATGCGCCCCACAACCATACCTAGCTACTGACTTGAGGACAGCCTTACGGCTGACCCCCGTGACATCGATGTAGACTAGTCCCACATTCTTCACGCCCCCCGTCAAATCGCTCGCCACAGTGCCGGCCTCAGCTCCGTACCGATGCCCGATCATCGTACTGGCAGCAGCAGAGCCATGGGTTAGTACGGTGCGGGCACTCTGCTCAATACCGTCTGCCAGTGTCGAGAATGCGATCATTGATTTGTTTAGTATGCCCGGCTTGTAGTCGCCATTCACTCCCTTGTCGCCCTTGCGCTTTGCGTCCGGGTTGCGACGGGTTAACGAAGCACCGAGCTCTGCGCAACCTTACCGACCTGGCCAACGGTCTTGGCTGAGAGGCCGGCGGCACCATGGGTGAAATTCCCAACCTTACGAACCCTTGAGTGAGTTGCCTCAGAGAAGGTCATTGGCTTAGGGTTAGGTTTGGTCTTCTTGGTAAAGGTTTCAGCCCCACTAGTCATCATATTGGCAACATATGAAGAGCCAGTCACGATCAGACGAGAGGCCGTAGCAGAAGTTTGAACCAGTGTTGAGTTCTTAAATGCAGGGTGCCGGGCCATCTGCAAGTATTCCTCAGACACGTTACTAACGCTGACTTTGTTGCCTTCACCTTCCGCAGGAAGTTCTACCTCCACCGGCCCTAGCGAAAAGTTAACCATGGATCACGTCTACAGAGAATAAGGCTGACTTACTCTTAGAGCCAGGCTTTACGCCAGGTTTCTCAACCACATCATACCCTTCCATTTCACCAACAACACTGCCATCCTCTTCATCAACGAGCACTATCCGCCCATGAGGGTCCTTCTGATCAGAACTCGTGGGCGAGACATAACCTGCACCTGGCGCAAAATCTGCTGGGTTGTACGGAGCATGCTCTTTCGGTGGGGCTGCACGCTCCAGGAATGCGGTACATTGTGCCAGAATCGTTTCAAAAGTATCCACATCTTCCTGAGATACCTTATCAGGGCCGCTCCCAATGGCCGGAAATTGTATGCGAATGAACGCGCCTGCATCTGGTCCCAAATCCCAGCGGGGTATCAAATAGCTGTTCGGCGGCTGGTGATAGATCTGCGTAGAGGCCGGAAGTGCCAGATCCAACTCTGGAGGGAGATGAAGATGAAGATAGAAATCTTCTTCTGCTGGTGCATCATTAGAGCTCTGAGGTGTAGATGCACTTGTCGGAACCATTAAAAGGGAAAGGGTTTGAGGCCCCGATGGGGTGAGCTCGGATTCCTCGCCATTTTGGATATGGAAAGCAGTTATGTTGTTGACGCTGTAGAGAAGGCGAGGGTCATGAGCGGTACCCGACATGATATCGATAGAGTCTGAGATAAAGTTGACGGTACCCCTGTTTATTACCCAAAGCGGGGATCTGTTGATACTGCGGGGAAGATGGAACAATCGCGAAGTGTAAAAAAGACGGAATCAAGACGGAATCTCTGTGTGATTGTCTCTAAACAAGAAGTCACTGGCGGTGATGCAGTTGTAAAAGAGACTGTAAAAAGGTATTCAGTCTCCGAGAAGGACAGAGACAGTAATATATCTCTGTCAAGAGAAGTCTTGGACTTCTTGGAGGGGCGCCGCCATAGCCAATGACGTTGTCAAAGTGACACTGTACTCTGGATTAGATAAGCATTGGGTCACCCCTTTCGCCCCTTTTGGATCTCAACATTGCTGCGCCACAGGGTCATGAAAAATGCACCGCCATAGTTTCGATCGTCTCCTCGCCATGAGTGGCTTCACCGGCAATTTGCATGTGAATATTTCGTCTCTGCTGGGACATTCCTGAATATTCTGCATCTGTTGTTCGCTGGATCTTACTCTTGTTGGTCGGGGAATCTTCCGCAAACCAGAGACGCGATCTTTCCCAACAGCACCACTTAATTACTAGGCAGTGCTATTTCAGTCACAAGCTCCAATTTTCTAGTATTAGTGGCGCTTAACATCAGCCCTCGAGACACAGATATCTTGGCATCGAATAGTGTCTTTTATCCTGTCTGACCTCCACCTAGAAGCTCCCGAGGCGTACAAATTGTTTGATATTGCTCCCAAAGCGCCCTACCTAGCGCTTCTGGGCGATATCGACAATGTCAAGGACAATGGTTTGTTTATCTTTCTTGAAGCTCAGCTTCAAAAGTTTCAGATCATCTTTTTCCTCTTAGGAAACCACGAGTCTTACCATTCTAATTGGACGACTGCAAGGGAAAAAAATGCAGATATTTTCTAACACCATTAATCAGAAACGAACACAAGAGGGTCAGCAACTGGGGGAGTTTGTGTTCATGGATCAGGCACGCTACGATATCTCCCCTCATATTACCGTTCTGGGCGGTATACTATACTCCAGAGTCCTCGAGAGCCAAGAAATTCATGTTAGCTTTGGCCTTAACGATTTTTATCACATTGAGAATTGGACTATTGAGGCCCATTGCGCCGCGCATGAGGCTGACCGAACATAGCTTAACAATCAGGTTTCTCATATTGTGAAGTCGGAACCCCGTCGCAAGATAGTGAGTGATATTTAGTCATCATAGTCCAACCCTTGCGGCAGCGGCTGTTGACCCTGTGCATGCCAACAGCCCTTTGTCTTCAGGGTTCGCAACGGACATCGCAGAAGAACCATGCTGGAAGAATGCTCGAGTGTGTCTCTCGGCATTTGGACATACGCACTACAATTGCGATTTTATAGACGACAAGACTGGGAAACGACTCGTGGCGAATCAGAGGGGGTACTACTTCGCTCAGCCGAAGGCGTTTGATCCTGATAAAGTGGCCAGTGTCCAATAAATGGGGTAGATCATGACACGAAGCTAGATTATCGGAAGATCATCTTTATTCCGTAGTAAAGCGAAATTGATAATGTACTGCGTAGAGGAAATCCTGGTCCCGCGGGCCTTTGAAAATAAGGCCGCGGGCAACCCATGGGGAAGCAAGCTTTACATGCTGGAACTACTACTACTCAACAGCCGCGGTTAACCGAGGCTCATCTGCGGCGCCCTCGTGATTCCGCTCCAGCACCTTCTTTTTCCCCAGCTCACTACTTCTCTCTTTTCTATTCCCCCTCTCTTCTGTGCAGTCAAGCATTTGATTCCGTGCCTTTAGCTAGTCTAACTTACCTATTTCAGTCCCCTGCGATGGCGTCCATTACCCGCGCGTTGCGGCCTCTGTGCCGCACTACTCCCTCCTTCCGCATGGCCGCAAGACGGCCATTGCCCTCTCATTTAGCTCGGAGGTGTGTTTCTCCAGTGGTTCGCTCACTACCGTTTTGCCAAATGGCGTGGACTCCAATAATTAATGTGCATGTACTCATCACTGACAACCGTTGAATGAACAGTACCCATGCATTCTCTACCACATCCCGCCGGCGGGATGTCGACTTGTCCAGTCTGACACCAACCCCGATCACCCTTCTTTCCGAAACAGAGTCGATGATGGCCGACACAGTGTCAAAGTTCGCTCAGGAGCAGATTGGACCTAAAGTCCGAGACATGGATGAGGCGGAAGCCATGGACCCCGCCATTGTCGAGCAGCTGTTCGAGCAAGGGTTGATGAGTATTGAGGTCCCCGAGGAATACGGTGGAGCCGGCATGAACTTCACATCCGCTATCGTGGCGATTGAGGAACTGGCAAGGATTGACCCTAGCGTCAGTGTCATGGTCGATGTTCATAACACACTCGTGAACACGGCCATCCTGAAATACGGTGATGCCCAGGCGAGACGGACGTGGTTGCCCAAGCTAGCTACGGGCACTGTGGGGTCATTCTGTCTCTCTGAGCCTGCGTCTGGATCGGACGCGTTCGCTCTGCAGACCAAGGCCGAGAAGCTTTCCGATGGATATAAGCTGAATGGTTCGAAGATGTGGATCACCAACGCCATGGAGTCTGGTGTATTCATTGTCTTCGCCAATCTTGACCCGAGCCAAGGGTACAAGGGTATTACCGCCTTTATTGTCGAGAAGGACACACCCGGATTCTCTATTGCCAAGAAGGAGAAGAAGCTGGGCATCCGCGCCAGCAGCACCTGCGTGCTCAACTTCGACGACGTGGTGATTCCCAAGAGCAACCTCCTCGGTGAAGAAGGACAGGGCTACAAGTATGCCATCAGCGTTCTTAATGAGGGCCGCATTGGTATTGCTGCTCAGATGACTGGTTTGGCGCTGGGTGCCTGGGAGAACGCTGCTCGGTAAGGACATCCTAGACGTATTTTTGACATCATGCCAAGGAATCTTAACTAACTATTGATGACAGCTATGTCTGGAATGACCGCCGCCAGTTTGGCCAGCTCATTGGAACCTTCCAAGGCATGCAGCATCAGTTGGCACAGGCCTACACCGAAATTGCTGCGGCACGTGCTCTAGTCTATAATGCCGCACGCAAGAAGGAAGCAGGTCAAGATTTCGTCCAGGACGCCGCGATGGCCAAGCTCTATGCCTCCCAGGTTGCCGGCCGCGTATCCGGCTCTGCAGTTGAATGGATGGGCGGAATGGGCTTTGTGCGTGAGGGTATCGCAGAGAAGATGTTCCGTGATAGCAAGATCGGCGCTATCTACGAAGGAACCAGCAATATCCAGCTGCAGACCATCGCGAAACTTCTGCAGAAGCAGTATACTAACTAGAACTCACTAAATATGAAGCTTTACTATTCTATTGGTGTTGCTAGATACCTGGCGTGCGTTTTTGAGGGATGTAGTCACTTGATGACCGCAAGATCCATGGTACGCTCCTGCTGATATTAGAGTTATGAACAATTTGTATGATAAACTAGCATTTGGTTTTGAAAAACGCGTTAAACATTCTATTTATAAACAGACTTTTTCAGTAGAGTGATGTGATAGGTTTAATCTGATAAATCGAATCCCCCTTCGATAAGGCCGGACATGATACTGTCCCTTACATTAAATTCGGCCTTGGGTGGGGTGCAAGGCGTAAGCACCGGGACATATGCCGAAGGAATATACGGAGTACTGAATAATTCAGTTCCTCGTTGCAGATCTCATACCGCAGAGAGGCTCAGGAAACCTAGTACGTATTCGCGGTATCGTGAATGCCCAAAAGCCCTTCACTGCAACACAGAACATATTCATTTCAAAACTTCGTAACGTATATGGCTTGGTAGTTATCATCATTAATCATTTTCGTCAGGCGGGCGACTGATCGGTTTCTATGTATTACACTCCAAGCTATCACTATTATAATAGGAAAAGGTAGCCCCCTATAGGGTGGAATGTTAAGCTGGGATGAACCCATAGCGATAATAAGCAAAGTACCGTCCAAGGGGCCTTGCTTTGGGGCCGATAGTAGAAAAAGAATTCTTTACCATGGCAAAGGGTGAGTAAGACCGGCGTACGCATTGATGTCCCATGGACGAATTGGGTTGGTATAGATGGTCGAATATTTGCTTCGTGCCTGTATTGCACGGATATTCCCATCGCGTAGTGGACACCGGTATTGAATTTGTGCATCGACATTTAGGCCACAATGAAGAAATGCCACCTTTAATGACCACTTGCCAGCGGAATCACTGTCGACGAGTCCAGTCATAACTGTAATCGTTTCTTGGGGGCTGTTCCGGGACTTGTTGATACTGTTGCGCGGCGTGAATAACTGGGTACCCACGAAGTTCCCGTTCTGACGGTATAGTTGGCACAGACATAGAGCGTTGACTTGTCGCACATTGTACGTGTTGGGGGTTGTGCGGATGCTCCCCTCGGCGCACTTGGTTGGGAACCCCTCCTGGGTACAAGTGTGAATATGAGTGGAAACTGGACTCAGCAGGATGGCCGCTGGGGGTATTGAAGCTAGCTTGGGGTGCTGCAACAGGCATCGGGTTCGACGTTTGTAACTGGCCTTCGAATATAAAAGGTTCTACCCTGTTCGAGTAATCTGCGTCCGACGATTCACAGATAGATGGTGACCCTGTGGAGCCGTACTGTTGCCAGTCAGGCACAACGGAGACTTGACTGGATGCTGAAAGAGCCGATGGGGTTCTGGAAACTGGATTTACACTCAAGGGCTCTGGGAATTGAGAAGGAAGTACTGGCCCGGAAGGGGTATTGTATGAGCCCTCGGCTGCTTCAGAAACAGTCAGTCATGGTCGCAATGCAACCGTGTCACATAACAAGCGGTAGGGACGATGTCACACACCTGGGCTTGAATAGGCTTGTCCACTTCTTGCCAAGGCTAGTTGTTGTTTTAAAGCCCTGATCTCGTTTTCTAAAGCAGTATTTCTTCGGACGACATGATCATATTGTTCCCCTTTTGATTTTAGTTCCGCTACTTGGTGCTCCAGACGTTCGATGTGCTCCTTTGTCCGCTGACGAATAGTCCTTTGGGCCTCCCGATCGTTGGCGCGCTTCCTTTCGAGCTGTTCTGCCGAGAGAGACGTCACCTTTCGCGTCCCAGCACGGGACTCTCGTTTTTTAGGCTGAGGGTCTGGGTTGGAAGCCATCATGTGCTTGCTATAGTAACCGACCGAGTGTCCGAGGGAGGGGGGCAGCGCGTCCTTGAGGGGTGACAAGCATAAACATCGAAGAGATGAATGTGATACATCCCAGTTTCTAGGGCGGGCTACAGGGATCGTATCATCCAGGACCTCAGGATGCGACTGGTTGTGCCATGTGCGTGGATCGCACTAAAATATGGTGTGCATGCCCAAGCGAACGAGGGAGGAACCACTTGATAGAAAGCGGGTGGATAGAGGAAAGTTGTATCCTCCGCTTTGTGACGGCCACGAAAAAAAGGCTCGTTCTTGCGGGGAGGTGAGCCCGCAAAGCCTCATCTGGCCGGGTACTTTTGGAACTAGGCACATTGTGGCCCTAAAATACCTAGTAGCTTGGGTCTCCAGATTGTCGCTAAGAGTAAGGGTCGATTCCCGAGCAGATGAGCTCCCAACAATAAAACCCCCCTGTCCAACAACGGTCCCTCTGCCGTGAAGAACGCCAATGGGCGTGCGCAGAGGACAGAAAACCCTGTGAGAGGGGGCGTCGATTACGACGGGCGTAGCGCCTTTCCTCCAACAAGTTATTACTATGGGTCTGGCGCGATGCTATGTGCATTTTCCGGCCCTCCCGACCTACAAGTTCTGTTCTAATTTGCAATTAGCAATCCCCCGGCACCCTTACCTACTACCCTAGCTAATAGACGGGGTTGCTTGACGCTGGAGTTTTTCTGATAGGCCGGAGCCCGTCATGCATAATGATACTGCGCCGCGCTACCCATGTATCGAACTGGGCTGGCTGGCGCTGCCTCTAGACAGGACCTCGGGCTTCTTGAAATTTTATCGAGCCGCTGGCCGTACAGACAGAATCTATCAACAGGTGGACCCTAGGAACCCCAGGCCACATGGTGAGACTGGCTAAATCCCCTAAGAAAATCCAGAGCCACGGAAAACTTCGATACTGTTTCGAACGATGAATTTTATCGGCATTTGAAACATTCGAAACCGTAAATGACGGTTCAGTTCTTGCCACTTTTGCGAAAAGAGGAAGGAGTCTGCCATAATTTGGGCGTAAGGGTTTCCCACACTGGAGCCCACTTGCCCACGAGGTGTGGAATGCATCCGAAACGATCATCAGCCCTTTATTTGAAAAGAGCGAGTGATTCCTGGGATCTGCCGGTCTTGGCGATTGCCAGATGAACGAGAAGCTCTTTGGTCAATAAGATTCAACGAATCGTACGTCATCCATCTTAGCGCCACGAGCCGGATCACTTTTCTATGCCCAACATGGAAGGCCGTATCCAAACTTGAGCGTGGGTGTAGCCCTCTCGGATCTTGGACGGAGCCTTTGAAACCATGGGTGGTGCTGACCACGAGGCAGGTAGATCGACTCCACTTGCGAATGGGCTCGTTCAAGTCTAACTACGATTCGTTGGGCCGAAGCGGAAAAGATTCGGAGGGTCCATAAAGGTTGCCCAGCTTATCGAGAAGCAGCAGATGTTTGTTGGACCAACAAGATCGCGAGACTTAAGTTAATAAAAATTCGCCCTTAGTACTGGGGAGAATGACCAAGGGAGGGGGGGAAACGAAGGGGGTGGTCAGGAAAAAAAAGAAAAAGAAAAAGAAAAAGAAATCCCTATTTCTCTTTTTGGATGCGGCGCAGTCAACAAGCCTAGTCGATGCATGACGCACCCACAAGTTTCCCTACGACGGTTAGTAGTCTAGAATTCATAATCGATGGAGTACATTAAGAGATCCCACCTATTTCTCTTTTCCTTTTCACTTTCCCTTTTTTTTTAGAGAGCCCCCCCTTTTCCCCCCATCATCTCCTTTCGGTTATTTGAAATGTCCGAATCATTATCCCCGAGATCAGTTTTTGAAATCTCCTTTACGAAGTATATGTCACATATGACGTAGAACAGCGAGGTATCAGGAATAACATCGTTGTGTTCCCTGATACTATCGACAGAGCCGAGAATACCCCAGAGTGCGCAAGTGATGTTGGTCTAAACAATAGCATGCAGTGGATGTCGTACTAATGCCGTGTGTGGTGGGCCCCTCTCATTGCTGCACAACATTTCAGAATAGCCTAACAGCATCCGCGCTTTTTTGTTGGCGAAAGTGGTCGTTTACATTCCTGGAAATCGACGATGATCGACTCCGCGGAGTCCGGAATCGATAGATGGTTTGTGTGAATGACAGACATGAATATTGTGAGAAGACTCCCTGTTTCAAATATAAGCTGGCCTTTAATCTCATGGTTTATTAATGTTAGTCACTATTTCTGGCCATCAGAAAGCAAGGGTAGCGTCGCTCCCGTACCAATCATGGACCGTCCTCCGCGCAACTGGTTCATGGTAAGTTGGTCCTGGGACATAGGCTCCAAGCCTAGTCTTGAACTAGAGAATCTTTCTCCATTCAAAGGTTGACACTATCCATGGTCAAAGGCCTATGAGACTCTTGCCCAGTCTCGGATCTTAGAATCCCGTGTCTCTTACATAGAGACAGTGTGTAGCCAGCAATATGTCCCACAGTATGCGACTTGGAAGATCAAGGATAAATAAAATAAAATAAAAATAACCCCGACGTTGGACACGAGTCATGGCTTGATGCTAAAAGGAAAGTTAAGTACGAGAGGGGTCTTTTAAGTTAGTTAGTCTCCTTCCGCTTCACCCCTTGGCCTGTTTTACCGATCCTTTCGATGCCATCAAATGCCGTTGACAAGATATACTTCGCTGTGACGTTGTCCAGAAAAGAATTAACTGAGCAACGTGGCCATTGTTTCAAGAGGACGACGCCAGCGAGTCAATCTAGCTATGTCTATTGCCAACGTTTGAGAGGCTCACTTGTTCAAGGAGAACAATTGGGGAATTGCGTGGAAGATGGCAGAAGATAATTGATCGAAACAGTTGCTATGGAGGAAAGCAGCTAGTGTAATTATATTACCATACACCGTAATAATGAACAGCCCCGCATTCCTATTCATTGTTACCTGTGTACCGTACAGTAATGTACAAGTATATGCTGTTCGATGCACGCCGATTGCAAGCTGTCATCATCTAATATCCGATAGCTTCTCGCTTGGTATGGGTCGACGAAGAAACTATACCCAATTCTCCAGTACTGAATTGAATTGAGGGGTCACTAGAAGGAAGCTTTAACGCATATTTAGCAGTTGAGGCATCAACATGGATTCAAGTTATAAAGCTCGAAAAGAGGCGTTTGTGTCGAATCTCACAGGTGGAAGCATCCTGGAGATCAACGCCGTCACCCTCGTTGCTCCTGTAAGTGGTGCTCTTGACTTCGCTCTACAGCTACGCTTTGGCTAACACAATTAACCAACCAGGCCTCAGTTCTTCTCTGGTCGGTACTCCAGTCTCGTCTTTCCTTCTTCGATCCCTATAGTGCGCCGGCATTAGTCACCGACTTCTTCCTGAACGTGTTGTCCATTCTCTTTGCAACTACACTCTATTCATCTGCGCCATGGTCCCTAAATATCCTCCTAGCCCTTCCAGCTCTTATACTACTACTCACTTCGACGCCTTCCCGCACGCTACAGAAAGCCAAACCTCCGCGCTCATCAGCCGCAGCTAAGAAGAATGCCCCGAAGCATGCATCTGACTCCCCCGAACCATTACCTGTTCACCCGTTTCTCACGACATATCGCGCCGCTATGATGGTCATCACTTGCGTTGCTATCTTAGCAGTTGACTTTCGTATTTTCCCTCGGCGGTTCGCGAAGGCTGAGAACTGGGGCACATCGCTCATGGATCTTGGGGTTGGGTCGTTTGTATTTTCTGGCGGAGTGGTCTCTGCTCGCTCGATTCTTAAAGGTCGGAACAGTCGCTCGAAGAAGATTGCCCTGTGGCAGAGGTTGACAGCCTCCACACGACACTCAGTCCCTTTGCTCGTCCTTGGATTGATCCGATTATATAGCGTCAAAGGTCTCGACTATGCGGAACATGTAACGGAGTACGGAGTGCACTGGAACTTCTTCTTTACGTTGGGCCTCCTACCCCCATTTGTGGAGATCTTCGACGCCCTAGCTACAATCATTCCATCCTACGAGATCCTGTCTCTGGGTATTGCGGTCCTGTATCAGGTAGCCCTGGAATCGACAGATCTTAAGAGTTACATTTTTGTCTCTCCGCGTGGGCCAGGCCTGCTTTCTAAAAACCGGGAAGGTGTTTTCTCCTTTCTGGGATACCTTGCGATCTTCCTTGCTGGACGTGCGATTGGCGTCAGAATCATCCCGCGCGGAACGTCGCCGTCAAGGTCACCCCAACAAGCCAGAAAGAATGTGCTTATTAGCCTGGGACTGCAAACTCTGGTTTGGACAACGCTTTTCGCGTTTAATTCCACACATGCGATGGGTTTGGGGGCCGGAATCCCAGTTTCGCGCCGTCTAGCTAACATGCCTTATGTGCTCTGGGTGTCTGCCTTCAACAATGCTCAACTGTTCCTTTTCTGTCTCCTCGAGAGTACTTTCTTTCCCCCCACCCACCGGGAAACTGGGAAGGACGGTGAACTTGAACGGACATCATTTGCGACAAGCCGCATCATGGCAGCCTTCAACAAGAATGGGCTGGCACTGTTTCTCGTAGCAAATCTCCTCACAGGAGCTGTTAATCTGAGCGTCCCCACACTCGACGTCACCACTGCGCATGCCACGGCAGTCTTGATCGCATATGTGGTCATCATAACCGGCATCGCACTAGCACTGGACAAAGCTAACATCAAGCTCAGCCTGTGAAAACATAGAATTGTCTATATAATAATTGTGTAAAATAATAATGGACATATGTACATTACGAACTTTAAACTATAAATAAAATCAATGGAGCCGATCAGTGATCTTTGATGACACTGTGGCTTGGCGCTGGACCACATGCTGAACCGCGGTCCATTGATTGATTTATCAACAAAATGATTTAAACTCATCACTACTACATTTCCTCACACTCTGCTCTGCTCTTGGGTCGAGAGATCGCCCACGCCTCACAATGAGTTCCCAACCGCAGTTCATCCACTATCCCGAGGTCCGCGAAGGACCGTCCGTACCCTACAAGAATGAAGACCAATCGATCCCCGTCTTTCGTGGACTCCCTCTAGCTATCGGAGCTACACTGTAAGCTTCATATCAACCAAGCATTTCTCCCAACTTTAAAGAAAGGAAGAAGGAAGAAAAAAGTACATGGATCACGAAAATAAAATTTCAACTAATAATCCACCCCAATCAGCATTCACAACGTGAGCTTCATCCAAAGCTACTTCTGGCGCAATGCCGGTTTCGATATAATCCACGATATTCCCCATTTGAAGCAGTACGCCGCCCGCTACGATCCTACCGTTATACCTGTCCTCGAGAATAAGCCCGACATTTCCTCATCCCCGGCTGAACTTACTATCCCCACTCGGAGGAGAAACGGGTCTTCGGGTTACTATACCTCTGCCGATTACTGTGCGCTGTATAAATCTGGCGAATTGACCCCCCTCGCCGTGGCCGAAACATTGATGCCCCTAGTCCGTCGGGATGTGAAACCTCCCGGTAAGCACTCCGTTGCATTCCTAGAATCGCAGGTTGAGCGGGTTCGCGCTGCGGCGGAGGCATCGACAAAGAGATACAAGGATGGGAAGGCGCTGGGTCCGCTGGACGGAGTACCGGTTGTCGTGAAAGATGAAGTGCATATTGAAGGATATCGACGGACCCTGGGAAGTAAATTGGATTTCACAGGCGAGTTTACGGGGACGTCATGGTGTGTGAAGAAATGGGAAGAGGCCGGCGCAATCATTGTTGGAAAGACAACCATGCACGAGCTGGGTCTGGGTAAGCCGTGTCTACAATATTGCTTCCCATGTAAAAAGGCAGCATAGCTAACCCAGGCAACACAGATACCAACAACAACAACCCGAATCACGGAACACCCCGCAACCCCCATAACCACAACTACTACTGCGGCGGCTCATCCGGCGGGTCTGGGTACGCTGTTGGCGCAGGCCTGGTGCCCATCGCCCTGGGCGCAGACGGCGGGGGCTCAATCAGGATCCCGTCGTCCTTCTGTGGAATCTGGGGCCTGAAACCATCACATGGCCGCATTAGCGCCACGCCAACGGTATCCCTCGCGCAAACGGTCGGCGTCTACGGCCCCATGGCAGCCAGCATTGACGATCTGGCCCTCGCATACCGCATCATGGCAGCACCAGCACCCGCAGAGCAAGACCCACCATCCGCATCTTTCCCCGACCCCCTCACTAGCCTGCAAGCCCAGTCGTCCAAACCGCGCACCAAAGCCATCGGCATCGTCAGCGACTGGATCGACCGCGCCGAGCCTTCTGTCCGTGCCGTCTTTGACCGAGCCCTCGATTTCTACCGCAAACAAGGCTATGATGTCATCGACATCACAATCCCTTACCTCCCGGAAGGCCAGCGCGCCCACGTCCTCACCATCATGACGGAAATCGCCTCGGGCCTCACCCCTGACCAGATCGGCAAGCTATCGGCCCCCAACAAGGTCCTCGTCTCTATGGGCATGTGGCAGATTTCCGGTCAGGATTTCCTCGCCTCCCAGCGCCTCCGCAACATCATCATGTGTCATCTCGCCTATTTGTTTAGGAAGCACCCGGGCCTCCTCATCCTCACCCCCAGTACGCCCATCCCCGGCTGGAAGATCAACGGCGAGGCCGACCTCTCGCGCGGCTTGTCGGATGGGAAGTCCTCCGTACGCAATATGGAGTATGTGTGGTTGGCTAATTTCACCGGTTGTCCGGCTATCAACTGTCCTGCGGGTTATGTGCAGGATACTCGTGTGCCTGTTGGTTTGATGGCTATGGGTGAATGGGGTACCGAGGAGGATCTTATTGCTTTCGCTAGAGACGGTGAAGCCATTTTGGACCTCCCTGAGAATCAATTGGCTATTAAAGAGCAGGTGGATGAGCAGTCGACGGGTCTAAGGATCCCTTACGGTGAAGGGTCTCTGTGGGAAGACGTGATTGCTTCGGCGAGAAAGTAAACCGTAGGTAGAATTCTCAGATGCTTATAGTTTGTCTTGTCCTATAGTTAGCACCATAGTTGGTTGTTATAATGAATATGTCTAAGATGCCTAGCCGATGGCATTGCTTGCTTGCTCGACGGAGAGTGTTGGTACCGCCATCAAAGTTTTGGTATCATTGTGCTCGCTGTTCAGCTGTGAAAAGAATATTTGGTAGCATACATGGATAAGGCATCGAGGAAAGCAAAGTAAATGTATGTACATCATTGAAGATACATAAGTTTGCAACGCTGAAACTAGAAAGACGGGCTCAGCCCTGTAACCAAAGAATAATGGGCGCGACGCCAAGATCGTAGAACGACCCAGTATCCGCTTAGAGTGAGCCTCCTGATATAAGGGGAAAGATACAGGAACCTTCTTATATCACAGTCCTGGGCCACGTGGCGCCTGTGAACGTAGTTCATACAGAGTATATGAATCTCAGAAAACCAGAGAGGAGCTTTGTTGGTCTGTTAACCTTAAATGTGAACACTCTCGCCACGTTTGGGTGCATGGAATTCGCATCCTAGATTAGCAGCCTGTGCTTGGTCTCGAAGCTGAGTCACGATAGTATCACTTGGACACGGGCCACCATCCATATCTTCTTTGATGTGAATGAGATAGACCCTCAAGTTAACCAAAGGTGCCTCATCGTGCGGCCAGTTAGACTCCTCAGCCAGGGCTCCTAAAGCTCGAGTACCAGAAGGGTCAGTGGAGCTGCCGGGCACTGCTTGGGGAGCGCTGGTAATTGCCGTTGTAGAAGCCCCAGGAAGCACATCTTGTGACCGCCGAGTCTTGGGACTCGTTGGCTGCGAGTCTGCGAGTGTTTCTCTGCTGGGCCGTTTGCGTTTGCCAGTCCCCGAACTGCTTGGGTCTTTGGCTTTAACAACTTCGCAAGCCAGCACCTTGAGTTCCGCGATTAAGTGTCGGGGGCAAAGATGGCCGTATAAAGACTCATCTTCCACATCATCAGTATAAGAGCATTCGATGAAGATCGCGCACAGTTTCCCTGAAACTATACGAGGTGCTGCCGCCTCCCAAACACGCCTGTTGCGGGGCTCGACTGAGATTGAATCGGGTTCAACATCGCCGAAGATGATAATCTCGCGGCCCGAGTGCTGTTCACGTATGAAAAATGCAGAGCTTTCAACACTCGTCCAGGTATCCCGCGGGTTCGAAGGTCTACGCATGGCCGGAGACATGTACCTATAAAATTCATTCGTTTAGTACTACGAGTAGCATCCGAAGGACCACACTTACCCTGGCTCTTCTTGAGTCAAGGAGATAGCGGCTCTTGAAGCTGAACGCATCACGAATGGGTCACCCAAGTACATTGCAGTACTTAACGAGCGTCGCATCTCAGCTTCGGGGGTATAGTGTCTCCTAGTACACCCATGACTAACGCCAAAACATCTGTAGTACAAACCCTCACAAGCCCGAGTATAGCCTCTCATCTCATCTCGGCCCATCCTTGGGTTGCCTCCTTCTTGCAAACGTTGGTAGGTAATCAGACCTGCGCCGCCATCTTCATCCGAAAGGTTTGGCCAGATCACTTCGTTGAAAATATGAGTCTTTATGGCGGAGATGACAGAAGGTAGTGCAGCTACTGTCTTGGGACCGTTCGTTGCCTCTAGGATTGGTGAGTTCATGGCAAATCCTGAGAAATGGTCCAAGTGCGGATGAGTGACCAAGATGGGTCCAATGACTTCTCGCAGAATGTGTGCTGCATTCGCTGGAGCAGTCTGGAAAGGTAGAGGCATGTCGGTAAACGGGCCAGCCTGAACTACCATCTCATCCATGTCATTGTGTGTTTCTAAGATATGAATGATTCCACTGAGTAAGGTTCCCGCATCGACCGCAATCACCGTATCTGGTCTCCAGCTGGTTGATGTCGATCGGACGAGAATCCCTGTTACTCGATCTTCCCGTGGGCCTCCTGTTGGACCCTTTTGAGACAAGTTAGCATTCAACCTATCTGTTGAATTCCGAGAGTCGTGCGATACCGCGGAAAGATAGAGCGCCGAGGGATGGTCTAGGCAAGAGCCGCAAGGCCTTGTCCTTCAGATACGAAACCATTGTGCGAAGCGGTACAGAACAGTGATTGAGGAAATGGGGAATGTTATACGTGTGTTATAGGCTGGACTTACCAGGACAATTACTTGTAAACCTCCTTTTCCAGGCTCGGGGGGCCTCGCAAACAGACCCGCTGCAGGAACTTCAACATTGAGCTCTGGGCCTACAATATCCTGCTTTATTTTCCCCTTCCCTTTTCCTCTCCCAGAAGCCCGTTTGCCTCGTGACTGATTCATTTCGTCTGTATGCAACTAAGAAATAGATTCGTTTTTCTTCGGTTAACAGATTTGGGAAACAAGCATCTAATCTGTGGAGGTGCCGAATATTAAATGAGGTATTTTTCTCAGTGCTGGCCAGCTCGCTTTTGGAAGAGAGAAGGTGTGTATATGTGCAGAAGCGACTGCGTGATTCACAGTTGATAGGAAGATTAAAAGTTAGTGAAGTGTGTCCGTCATCTGGTCGACAACTACCTCATTGCTTCTGCTCGTCAGAAATATAGCGAAATGGCAGACCTCCCGCAATTTCGTGTCGCACGCGATTTCGCAATTGGAGTGCAGCAAGGAGATGCGCAATGGCTCTACAGTTCCTTAGGATGTTGTCTGGCTGAGTACAGGACTAGTGGAGCTATTTGAGCACTAGCAAAGCGCTGTGAGATCTTCCGTCGCGACATGTAGCGATGATCATTGCTGAGGACTCACCGACAGAGAGCTGCTAAAACCGAAAGACCGGGTCTAGGCGTCCACAGATTGATTGCAATTGCCTTCGGTAGGATTGCTACTGTCCACAGAATCTCCAGCAAGGCTTGTGTTGCACAAACCAGAACTTTTTCCAGGGCAGGATTTGCTTTTTCCTCCGTCTTGGAGTTCGCGAGCGGAAGTGATGTAAATGTGGCTGGTAATCTGCGATCGGAGAACCACGATTGACGGATAGGTCCAACAAAGAACGACAAAGAAAGTAATGATGATAAATCGACAACGTATACTGTCTGTTTCTTACTTCAAGAAGTAGCGGGAAACCCCAGCCAGTTAAGAAAGAGGTTAAAGAATGGTGCCGCGCACTTCGAGTTGGCGAGCGATGGGATAAGCAGAATTAAGATCAGGAACGAAAGGAACAGCTTTCAGCCTAGCTGTGGCTCTTTTTCTTTTTCCTTTATTTTTTTTCTTTTCCTTTTCCCCTCACATGAGCAAAAGGCGGGTAAGCAGAGGCCCATTCTTTCATTTCAACCGATGGAGAATAAAGTTAGCGCAAGTAGCAACAGCTCGAATGTAACCGTGCGAGCTGAAAGGAAATATATGGTTGGATGACGTCGACAGACCGTCTCCAGTTGCGGCACGCAACCCGATTATCACCTGAAAGGCTGAAACTCGGTGATCGATCTGAGATTGTGGGGAAACTCATTACCTGATTTAATTCGTCTGACCCACTTTTTCGCTTTTGCTTTGCTTCTTTTCTGCCCTACGAGGTGAGTATGTGGAGTACTCGTCCTATTCGGTGTAGGAGAGGTACTACTAGTAGCGGTGATGGGAAGTAGCGGGCTTGTGCTCCCACTCTCCCTTACGAGCCGGTCCTACTCAATGAATGCATGTACTAATTTACAAAAGGAAAGAGAGACATTTGGCCCCAGGGTCATGCAAAGGAACAAACAACAAAGGATCCTCACGGCAGAATGTGCTTCCATCTCTCTCCATTCTCGTGGTCGGGGGACGAAAGATATGTACCGAGTGAGATTGAAATAATCAATTCCTTCAGGTGTGAAAATGCATTATATAAAACTTTCCGTTGACTGTCAAGGGTCGAGTTGAGGTATGAACAGTGTCCCATTTGCCATGTGGGACCTAATAATAGCACCAGCAGATCGAAACGAATTATCTCTATATCACCGCAGGCTACCATGGCGTTATACCTAACGCGGCTTGTTTATCAACGTTCTGTAACTACCGAGTGTCATATCCTAGACATTATCCTGGTAAAGTTTGTATCATTGCTGCCAGCATTGAATTCTCAAAAGCTTGCCGCAGAAAGGGCTTTCTTTTTCGAGAAGACAACATGTAGTAATTATACCGTGAAGCATGAGAGGATGTCAAGTCCTCTAGCAGATATAAACATAAATTGGCGATGAAAAGTCAGCTGCAGTTCTGCAACTACATATACAGGCAGACAAAAGTAAATGTGAGTGTAGATGCCGTCAAGAAAGGGCATTGTTTGTGGTTGGGCTACTTCGAGCGTCACCCTCCACGCACAGCATAGAGTCATTCCGTTACAATTCTGAAGGAAAGCAAAATAGGATATCATTTGACAGGTCTGATATGCCAGACTCTTCCAGGGGTAAGCAGATCCCTACACGCCTTGGGTTGAGCTGCAAGATTGCCCAGAACATTGGCGGTGTCATATCTTCCCCAAAGCATGTCGATCTGAAGAGACATAGAAAGCAAAGCACAAAGAGCCAATCCCTATATACGTTATTTATTTCATGTCATTGCCACATCCTGGTGGCACAAAGCCCATAAAAGCCCCCAATCGCAATAATCCCATCCATTGGAACGCCAACCGTGGCCGCTAAAATCGATTAACAAAGAGGAAGCCAGCATATTTGATGGTTCCAAGACCATATACACACATCATAGGAGATTTTGCTAATAACGGAATGAAACAGAAAATTTAGATTGTACGCCTCGGCTGAATTAGTTAATTCCATTCAGACGCAAAGGATTGTCATCCCGGTTGCCGACAGCCGCATCATAGCTAGGTATAGGCGGTTGATCCTGGCGCGGCAGATCTTCACTACCTCTTCGGCTGCTATCGGGGCTCGAGTATTCCGGTGGAGGAGCCTGGTCGATATCTTGGGTATTCAAGAGTGGAGCATGCTCCCCATCGCCAACATTTGCGCGGCTTGAGCCTTCTCCAGCATC